TAATATTCTATCTGGGAAAGGTAAAGTGATGTGCTTTAATAGTAATCATGATTTTTATCTGCGAACGGTAAGATAAGGATCATCGGCATGTAAACGAGCACTATCCCGTAAATTAATTGCTTTGGTTGACATGATGAAGTGGACATTCAAGCATGATAATTTAAAGCAGTGATGTTTGACTTATCATTTATTAGAAATAAATTGCCTGAAAACAGGGATATGCTAGACAGTTGTCGAGTTTCGACGGTGGAGCAACAGTCACTGTTAATATGAATGCGATAAGTCAAAGCCTTTTATCTGTAGATGACCTAAAACCCCTACCCTAGAGTGGATGAAAACGATCTTTATAGTCAAAAATAGCTGATAGTTCCAGTTCTTCTGAGAAAGAGATTAGCTGCTCAAAATTGTTGTTCATACGTTGGTGTACTACCGCGTCACAATGTTTAGTACTGGATCAACGGTAGTAACAAGATAATTACCAATAACTAACCAACATAACTCTGGAAACAGTCAATTAATTTGCTATGGTAATTAGAATTCGAAAATCTACAGCGCATTTAACTCACCACCATTTTATCTTGCAAAACCAGGAAATATTCTTTCTGTCTCACTATGATAATTAGTAGTGTTTGAATTATAGTACGAACTAGGAATCCCAGAACTAACACAATCGGGTCGAGAAGTACTAGATAAACACGAACGAAAGTACTGTATTTGAAATTTGAAATCCAGCATTTAACAAGTACAAAGGAATCATTAGTACATTCAAATATCACACTCACATAAAGTAAATTTTACAAGACGAACGAAGTATCAATAAGTATATTTAAATCAACTGAAATACTTAGAACCTCATCCAAGTTGTAGAGTGTTGCAAACTGCAAGTTTAATAAAGAAGCATCCATCGTGGCTCTTAAACAACGCAGAAATAGACGAAATCCTCCAATCACTGCACATTCTCGACTGGTAACTTTGGTAACTCCAACTCAGATTGAGAACAAATTTCTCTTTACTGAGTCCGCAGACAGATTGACATGTACTCACCTGGACCGTTATTAAAATAGGGGAAACCTGTATGCAGAATAATCTTGAATGCCATAACATAGCTGCGACAACGTCACCTGAGAAAAGATTAGAATCCACTGGCAACAATATGATGACACTCAACTGAACGATTATGGTATAAAGTGTGAGAGAAGCGGCTTTACTAATCAATGTTTTGCACGTTTGGCCGCCCACTACAATACTGTGAGTTAATTCCAACAGATCAAGACCAAAAAATCATAGGATTGCACGGATAAAAGTGAGCACTAAAGCCATAGATTAGCTTTTGGATACACTGTGATCATAGAAAGCAAGATATCACATATCTCAAGTCACTTCAACATGAGCATTTTACCTGAACAGCATCATCACGCTCCTCAACGTCACTCCAGAAAAACAGCCATGAGAAAACGAAGCCCGGATACGCCTTCTTTTTCTCATTACGAGTTACTTTTACTTGGAATGCTCTCCCATCAGAAGTGACCACGGGCCTCTTAGTGGATAGCTTTAAGAGGAGACTTGACAAACACATATTCATCCATAAAGTACCATCTCCCGCTTGTATCAGCTGTGCCTGATGCGTGTTTTGTAGATTCCCTGCTGTCATCATTATTACATATCAGTAGCTACATTCTACCTCGCTTATCACAATCTGAGTTTCCCATTTTATTCTTGCACTTCCGTCTGCTCGTACAGTTGGCATTACACACTGATCAATTCACTTGATCACTTATTGATCGAGACAATCGTCTTTTCCCAGTATTCGAATTTTCTTTTTGTTTTGTACATTACAACCACCAGTCAACCCTCTGCCTAATAATGTGATAGCTGCCGGTTCCGGAAATTCCGCTGTTCTGAGACAAACACACACACGCGAATTAAAGGACATACAAATTTACAAATATCTATCAAACTGGTTGAAACTAATGGAGTTTAGAAGCAGCCTCCTATTAGACATTACCAAATATCTGGAGCGAGCTTGTCAGGTGGACTCACCGTTTTTTGTTTTGGTTTTGTTCCTCGTAACGCTACTGTGAGTACTTCCGTAGTACACAAATTACTTCATGGCTAAACGCGAGCTGCTATACTAAGACTGTGGTTAAGCTTTCAAGAGTCGGCTGTTGATGAGAACCGGGCCTGCATGGAAAAAGCTTCTCTTATTTCGTCCACAAACATTTTGTAAGGCTAGTGATTTACATGTGAAAGGGTTATTGTAAGAATTAAAACGTCAAATTTTTTCCTGTAGAATCTAAAATAGTTTGAATTCAGTTTTTTGCCCAAAGTTTATCACATTAGTAATTAATTAGTAGAAATTTTTCTTTTGTTTGTTTTTGCAGCAGGAACTCTGCAGTTTTAAATTGTAATTCTTATATTTCCGTGTATTCATTGCTTTCCATTCAGTAAGTATTTAAAATGTGCTGACGCTAAAGAATACTAACACAGAAATGTACAGCGATATTTCTAGATTCATATACATATACGACCTGTTAACTAACTACACGTATACTACACAGTACGAATGGAGTTGCATTGTAATACAACGCAGTATATATTATAAATTGAGTCTAGTAGTATTTTAATTATGAGGCTGTTCGAATAAGAGAAGTCATTCGATATAGATTACAATTATTCAATCTCCTCAGATCTAATGCAATTGACTTTTCCAATTTCGGCCATAAATAATCATGGTCAACGTTGGCTAATTAAGCACAATTTTTTATGTAGTTTCATGCAGGAAATATATGGACCGTCAAAATTCTTTTGCATGAATTTCAAGGCTCTGTAGTCGGTCATATTGTGAAACCATTAGTGGGCAGTTGGCTTTCAGTGCGCTGTCGTCCTAAAGTTCTAAGTGAAACTTCGGAAGTGGTGTTTGGTTGTTGATGTACTTTTGATCAGTCTTGCATGAATTGTCTTACACGCAATATTTTTATTACCTAACTAATTTGATCAAATCACTCTATGGTTCAAACCTCTGAAAATCACTGCACCTTAAGTTCCAGTGATAGTTATCTCATAAGTATATAATGTTTATTTGCAAGTGCTGATGATGCGTCACCATCATTTAGTCACTGAAAGTATTTGGGAAGGTAGTTTGCCAATCTTATTCTGAGAATAAGAGGACAAGAATGATATACAAAACAAAAGATAGGAATTATTGTCTTCAGTTACAACGGAAGATCAAACAAATTCCGCTAGAAACAATTAATTACCATTGTCAAATAATCATAGGATGTAATATATTTGGATGCATATAAAGGTAAAATATTAATACGACCGCTCAAAATTTTAAGCTACATCAACTGTGATACCTAACCATTATTATTTTACTGAGCATAGATAACTATAATGAGTTGCCACAGCCTTCTTACATTAAAAAGCCTCATCAACTACGAATTACCAGTACGGTAACGATAGTGCTTTAAAAATGTCAAACGTTTTGGCTTCATTTGAGTTCGATTTTTTTGTGGGGATGACATCATTGTTTTCCTAATGTAAGGAAATTCATTCGCTCGTCTTTTGGTTTACGTGACTAAATGACGGCACTTTTATATTTGTCCCTGATTAACACACTCCATTTTTGACACTTCACTGTCGGTTGTGTGATGCAGATTTTAGAAATGTTTCTTACATTTTAGTGCCCTTTTAATTTTTCGTTTTATTTCAATAAGATTGCAATAGCCGATGTGGTTATCATGCAATGGATATGGTTATTATTCCTTTGAATGTGATCTTCAAGTCGTTCCGAACCTTTTCAATTACCGGTCGTATATCAACACACTAATCTAACAATAAAATAATTTATGATCGTCAAGATGCTTATGTTCAATATATTCAGACGGGAGAACGATTAGACAAAATTGTGTATTATAAACCTGAAATACATCAAACTCTATTCACTCCTTGATAGTGAAAAATCGAATATCGATAACATCGTGAATATGCTCCATGGAGACATTTTAAAGTATGATTGTTATATCTTGTTTCTGTGATATAGATTGTGCCGGATGTCGGTTGTTCCTCTAGACAGCTCTAATATAAAACGCTTAGAATTTCTGAGAAACCTCTTTTTATATTCATGCACGTCTCAAAAGTATTGTCTTCCAAGTCATTAATACCCCAAAATTCAAAAGTTTTCATAATTGTTTTTGTTCGTATTACCTCTTTTAAGCAACCATTTTTGAACGTATTCATAAGTTGAAATTCTAAGTTTTGATTAGTTTACAAGTTTTCAACAAGTTTAAGTCTCTCCCGATTCCAGTTTTTACACCTTTTTCCATGATACATATAATCGAAAATCGTGACTTAATAAAATGTTCTAAGTGATAGACACTTAACTGATATTTAATTGTTATAGAACTGGAAAATGTTTTCTTCAGTTATTGATACCAGCTTTTACATTGTGTTCACTACTGAAATTACATAGTGATCTTACCAGTATGTTAACTACTAAACATGTATTGTTTTTTGTGATCGTTAGATTTCAAGTTGTATTTATGAATATCGGTGACTTTTTATACGTTGCATAGATCTAGAAAGGTTAGGTATTACCCTACTAACCGTTCATAAGCTCACTAAAGTGTGATTAAGAGAACGCTTGTAGTGTGACCACATTTTACGTTTATTTGGCACACTAGACCAAAAGATTATTCCAGAACTTTGCTTGTTTTGTCCTAGATTTGTTTGAGATTTATACATTGTTTACCGGGTTTTCGTAGATATTTTAGCTTGTACTTTTCCTTCTAACGAGTTGTTTAAACCATTCATTTTCAGCTTGAATTTACTAACGCTGATAAAAACTACATGTATTAGAGGCTCATATGAACAGTGATTGTCGATTCCTGTAAACCGTCAGGCAAATTATATGCACACAGTTAGTTGTGCTAATTGTTAAAGTTTTATGTAGTGGATTAATACAATTGCACTAAATACTTATGATTTTCTTATATTTCTAGATGTCTTCTGTGACGGATTGTACATGTGACAAGTTAAACTCTTTTAAAAGTCCATGGTGTGATGCTGACTGTTTTGTTGTAATCACAGGTGCAAGTCGTGGATTCGGTCGGGCGTTCGCTGTGGAGCTAGTAAAGTCAATGTCATCTGGGGAAGACCATGCTGCTTCCTTAAATGTTTTACTAATGGCTCGTGATGTTGATGCTCTTCGTGTAACAGAGTCTGAGGTGAGTTTATCTATAGAAGTTTCTTCCCTCATGTAGCTAATATGATTAAAAATCGGCTAGTTGATCATAGCAATACAGGCTTAGCAAAAGAATGTCATTTGATATATAAAATGATAAAATACGTGTGTAAATACTTTTTATATCTTATGAATCAACATGCTGTGTTAATAAGTCAGCCATTGTTGGGTATGTTGAATCCTTAAATACAATTTTTCCGAAGATATCAAGTGTAAGATCACGTATTGATTTAATACGATTTTTTCATCATGCGGCTTCTGTACAATATGACATTTAATTGTATTAATTTTGTGTTTCAGTTTAACAGTAAGCAGTAATCACTGAGTGTGATCTGTATACAGTAGAATAAATTTAAGCGTTAATTGATCTTATTTAGTCTTTGCGGAATAAATCTTCCGTATATAATTTAGCTGTTTTATACTGATATCGAAATGTAGCCAAGATTTATTGCTTTTATCACAGACATCTCAATGCGCCATTATCATAGAATCTGATACAAATGTATGCCGATTCACGTTAAACAACATAAGAAAGTAATTAATCTCAATTGAAGCAGAAATCTTAACAATTTGGTCGAAAACATTTACATTGTTCAAAATTACCATACTACATCAGTATAGAAGGATAAAATTAACAAAAATGAGTAACCGACGAGTAAAGACGATAATAGTATCAATATATGTTAGCGTTTTTTAAGCGAGTTAGTTTTCTACAGGATGGGGTCGCTAACCCCATGAACAACCCTTCTCCTCTGTCCGGGCTTGGGACCGGCAGTAGCCCCAGAGGGGCTCCAGGCGGAGTTGTCGGTATACGTTATAGAGAATGATTAAATAAAAGAATACAGTCCAAAAAAGAATGGATGAGAGAAATATTTTGAAGATATATTGGAACTAAAAATCTCTAGCAAATAAGGTATGTCAGACAGCCGAACAGCGCATAGACGACTATTAACGGGGATCGACCATAATAGTGATTGTTCTGCCCTCGTACTTAGTGCTATGTCTACACCTGCCAATTCGCGAGAACTAGCCATCGGGTCGCCAGATACACGGAGGGTGTATACTATGGGCTCTCCGTTTTGGCGAGGTAAGGTCAAGTGGATGAACACACTAGGATTCTGTATGCGTGTTTCAGAGACACAGCATACATCAACGGTACGAAATTCTGGAGTCTCAGCCAAGGAGACCTGCTGGCCGATTTGACATAGGATGCGTACGTTAAAGGCTCCAATGTGTAGTTTGGAGTGAGGTTTTAGTAGACCTGGGAGTGTATTATGCACTAGAATCATTGGTTATGGTAACACTTGAGGAGGAAGTTTAGAGTTGAAAGTCGATGTAGGAGGAATAATAGGAATTGAAGAGGGAGGTTTTATAGTTATGTACACTTTAATTGGTTTATAGCAAAATATCACCAATAATATTGCTTCGTTGTGTGTATATCTTTAAATAATATTCTTTGTATAAGTTATGTGTACTATATGAAAACGGACAGAATCAGAATGTCAGCCTGTTACTCCTCGCGAAAGAGCATAGGTCGCTCACCAGCATTCTCCATCCAACCCTGTCCTGGGCAATCCTTTCCAGCTCTTTCCATTTGTTATTCATCCTTTTCATATCTACTTCTATTTCCCAATTTAATGTGTTCTTTAGCCTTCCTCTTTTCCGCTTCCCTTCAGGATTCCAAGTTAGCGCTCGTTTCGTGGTGCAGTTTGATCATTTGCGTAATGTATGTCCTATCCATTTCCATCGTCTTTTCCTAATTTCCTCTTCAGCTGGAAGCTGGTTGGTTCTCTCCCACAAAAGGCTGTTGCTGATGGTATCCGGCCAATGTATGTTGAGTATCTTGCGTAGACAACTATTTATACATACTTGTACCTTATTGATGGTGGTTGTAGTTGTTCTTCACGTTTCAGTTCCGTCCAATGTAACTAACTGTCTTGACATTCGTATTGAAGATTCTGACTTTAATATTGGTTGACAGACAGTTGTTTTGAGTTCCATATGTTATTCAATTGTAGAAATTCTGTCCTTACTTTGCCGATCCTCGCCTTTACGTCTGCATTGGAACCTCCTTGTTTATCGACGATGCTTCTCAGGTATGTGAATGAAAACGGACAACTGAACTTTAAACATTGTTCAAGATACACTGCGCAATAACAGAGGAGAGTAGATAAAAAATTCTTCATATCCTTTATTTTTCTCCTTGGAAATTTTTTTCACTGGATTATACTCCTTGGATCACATCTTCAAAACCTAATCTTAACGATTACTGCTTATACTTTTACTACCTCTACCATTACGGGATTTGAATAGACAACTGCATCTCTGTGCTAGTGTGGTATGGCAACTCGAACTGATGTATGTACGTAAGTACGTACTAAGTTCTGCGTCCTTACTGACTGTAGATAAAAACATGATAAAAGCTAACTAAAATTGGAACGTTCCGTTGGGTAAATGAAATTATTTTCTTTATTTTTCGTGTTTTTTATGAAATTAATACGTAGTTCTGTTTATATTCCTGTTATCATATCTACGTCTTGTTAACTTGTAGTCTTCATCCATGAGTCTTTGCTAACATTTTACAAGCCTTTATTTAAGAACTCTTCACATGGATACATTAATCAATTGTAGACTTCCCGTTCTGGTTAAGTGTCTTAATTATTAAAGTGTATCTTTTAAAAATATCCTATTCCTTGCCATTTATCCCATAATTTTATCCTCTCTTCCAATCTTTTATATGAAATACTGTTATTCCACTATGTGGATCGTTCATTCTTCATTCCGATACTTTGTTAGCTTTATGCTAAAGTAGTTTTTAATACAAGATAAATAGGCGGTGCTGCAGTCAAAGTCTTTTGAATATAATACTCAAAAGACATACAGAATAGATGATAATGGTTGGTAGAAACAAAATATTTGAACGTATACAGGATCATGGAAACCATGTGTAACAGTGGTTTGGAATGAGGGTTTTTAACTCCCATAGGTGGATCCTCCATATCCACACACGTGGTTAAAGCGACGGACATTCGCTTTCCGTCCTCTCAATTTCGTAAATAATACCCGTGATGCGAGAAGGCAGTGATTAGGACAATGGTTGTATGCACACGGCTATGTGAGAGCATTTCTTGAGGGAGAGCTGACTCTCCCCACCCTCGGCCGTACCAGGGCATTTGGGGCTGGGTGACTGTTATGCCCCGATAAGAATAATGAGTGGTAATTTTTGGGATCCATTTGTGGATCAATACTATACGTATATTTTTATCGTATAATTGTTAAATAACTAAGCTATCCGTATTCATGTCTCTCTTATCATAAGCTTTATTTTAACCTATGAACTGTTATTATACGATTTACCATTCTTGAATTATGCCCAGTCTATTAATTACTACTTCTCACACTCACAGCCACATTTGGCTAAATCTTGTACAAATGTTATTTTCCATTTTATGGTACGATGTGGTCTGTCTGATTGGTATATAAACCGAGTATGTTTGAAATAAATGATTCATATTACAGAGGCTGAGATTGGTGTTCTGGACTTAACAGGCAGGGCTACACAGGAAGCGAGACCAATCGAGACTCTAGGCTGCTCGTACGAGATTTACGCTCAATTTATTCGACCGACAGCTCACTGCTCTCTGATTGGCGGCCACAAGGTATAACAGTGAAGTGGGACTGAATTCGTCAGGGGGCACCATTCTTCCCCCCCAAAAAATGCGGGTACGTGTTGCTGGCAAGTGCCAAATATCACGAAACCCGGGTACAGGGTTTTCTGTTGACTATCTTCAACCACTATATCTGCTGTTTATTTATATTACTTATTGTTTACCATAATGTCTTATAAATAAACGAATTAGTAGGTGTAGACTACTTGTTTGAGGTCCACGCGACTATCAAAACCAGTGGTTGGAGACTCTGGGTGACATGGCTCAAAATCGATCAAAATGGCGTAGGTGTATACACTTTCTGTCTTCTCTCAAACGATGACAATAAAATCGCTTCATATGTTTTTGTCTACCAACTCCCAACCGTTGTTGCTACCTTGACGTGGTGGTCGGGCTTACCTATAATGATGAGATATACTGGCTGGAACAACCGTTCCTCAAGGTCCTACCATGCCAGACAGGTCGGTTGAATGAAGAGCGGTAAGACTAAAAGCAACAAAACGAAGGTCTGAGGGCGAAGTCGTACTGCTGGCTGTACAGAAGTGTGACAGCAGTAAGGTGTTTCCTTCACACAACCAGCATGACAGCAATGCTACCCTCCCACAAGGAGGGGTGGGGTTAGAAAAGGTCAACCCTAAAACTGCACACCTCACCTTATCCCACGGATATCCGTCTCCGGCGGTAAGGTCTCAACAAGTACGGAGCTAACACAAAAACTACTCATAAAAAGGTTGTGTGTGACCGATCTCATGTAGCTGTCCCTTGAGCACTGCGGTCACCCTCCCAGGTCACTATAACCACCTTTAATCGAATTACCTTTTCAGGTACCTTCAGCAGAACCGTTCCACGATGTGGCCAACCGAGAAGTGATAACCGCCCTCATACCTCTAACAACATTCAAGACCACTATATTCATAATGAACCTCCCACTTCAATTCCTATTCTCTATCGTCTAATTCTTTCATTCTTTTTGTTTTTTTGTTCAAAAATTCTTTCATAGATGTATACATCATTATCAATAAATTCTAAAATGAAATTAACTATATTAGTATCAATATCATCATTAGATATGTGTAATGCTAATAAAGAGAATTTATTAAATGATTTAAAACCATTATTTGAATTACATTCATTATATCCAATAAAATCCAATCAAAATTATCAATGGAATATGCTTGTTCATAATGCAGCTACATTAGGTAATATTCAATTAAAATCTTATGAATGTTTTGATATTACAACATTAGATGCTTATTATCATGCTAATTTAACTGCACCTATTTTATTAACAAATTTATTTCTTAATTATTTTTTAATGAATCATCAACCAATTACTATAGTAAATATATCTAGTTTAACTGCTATTAAACCATTACCATATATGTCTAATTATTGTATTAGTAAATCAGCTAGAGAAATGTATTTTAAATGTTTATCTATAGAGAATCCATCATTAGCTATATTGAATTATTCACCTGGACCATTAAATACCAATATGTTAAATGAGATTCTTAATAATCATGGTCATTTAGATACACGTAATGAATTTAAACAAATGAAATTGAATGGTCAAATTATTGAACCAAATGAATCTGCACGTGTATGTATTCAATGGCTTAAAAAACAAATACCAATAGATTCATCTAATAGAAATTCTATTCCTAAATTATTACATTGTTTAATACATGATAATAAAGATTATACAAATTTATGGTTAGGACTACATTTAGATTATTATGATGCTATTCAAAATGTATAAACAAATATTAATGATCAGATTATCACTTCTCATTTCTATAATCTGTAATGAATGAATGAATGAATGAATGAATGTGATATATTTATATAAGGTATCAACTATTAAGTAAGTATTTATTCTGTTGTCATGTTTCCCATTTGTTTTGTTTGTTATTGATATTATCAATTTAGCTTTATGTGTGTTTGTGTGTGTGTGTATGAATTGTTGATCTTATGTTATTTATCGTGTTATACTTATTATCTTTAATAAAATGTTAGTAATCTAAAATATAGTTTGTTTTTTATAAATTAACAATGTTTAGAATTGATTTTTATTCTATTCCTATGTAATGGTCAATATTCAACTTCGTCCTGATAAACATCACTAGATAATACTCTAACCTGTGGTATTAATCAGAAAGCGAATATGAAGTGTTGATTACGTTTATTATTGCATCAAAACTACAGGTACGCTAGGCAAACATGAAAGAGTAGTGCCAAAAAGCAAACAAGTTAGCGTCGGAGTGGAATGAGCGAGCAAGTGAACAGGAATTATATATATATAAATATATATATATATATATTCAGTTTCGTGGATTAGTTGAAGTTGGACATTAACACCGTTAGATGCCGGCTCAATTGTCTAGTGGTTAAGTGCTCGGGCGCGAAACCAGTAGGTCCTTGGTTCGAATCTCACAGGGGGCGAGGTCGTGGATACGTACTGCTGAGGAGTCCCATAATAGGACGAAATGGCCGTCTAGTGCTTCCAGGTTTTCCATGATGGTGTAGCTTCAACTGACTCATGATCTTAACCATTGAAATTAATACAATCTTCACAAAACCCCTTCTGATGATATATATATATATATATATATATATATATATATATATATCATCAAATCAATTAAGCGATCCCCAAATGCTGTGGTCCGTCCGAGAATGGGGAAACTCAGCTCTTCCTCTCGAAGTACTCTCACATGGCCACGTGTATATAATCACTGATTGGATAGTCTTACTCACTGCCTTCTCGTGTTGAGGGTGTTGTTTACGAAATTGTGAGGATGAAAAGTGATTGTGCGGCTCTTTAACAGGGTTGGTAGATACAAAGGATCTACACAGGAAAGTTGAAAAAACCTGATTCGAAAGAATTGATGGACATGGATTGCAAGAACCTGAAGGAACGGATGACATGTGAACCAATCGTTGGTCACCGGCTACCATTTGATTGCATCACATGACATTGCTCCAATATGTTGTGGACCAGATCTTGAATCGAAGGCTCTGAGTGTGGCCCCTTAAGAAACCACCTATCACGGTCTTGGCACTCAGCCCTCACATAAATCTTGTAAAAATGTTTATGTTATCTATTAAGCGACTAGTGGTAAAGCTAGCAGCCAGTAAGCAATGCTCAAAACATACATATATATACAAGTGCAACAATAATTAAGATACAATGGTAGAGACAACTTGTTATTGTACGAATGGCTCTGTATTGTCAAATAAGTTAACAAAAAGGCTTAATCCAATCAAATGTGAATAAACTCAATTGCAAATGAGCTCCTATATCCGCCTTTTGGAAGCTTACAAAACACTTGATGTATTTTTGAAATCTATCATTACTTGGATGTATATTCAATTGTGAAATATCGAAGTTTATTGGTATACTGGATCGAATGACTATTTTTATTGCTTTACCTCAAAAACAAAATAGTAGAAATTCTCAGATTTATCCAAAACTCAATATATTAGTTACGAACAAACCAGTGTTAAAAGGCAAAAACATACTTGAATAGATATTACTGAATGTAAAGTGTTATAACTGTGGGAGAGAAAGACGTGCGATTTGAGGAGAGAGAGAATTATTGATCGGACCAAAGACACGTAAAACACGTAAGAACAGCCTAGAGTTCTGATTGACCCTGCTTCCCTGTCTAGCGCAGCCAGTTAAGTCCAGAACACAAGTCTCAGCCTCGGTGATATGAATCGTTATATTTCAAACATACACTGTTTATATACCAAACAAACAGACTACATCGTACCATAAAATAGAAAGTAACATTTGTACAAGATTTAACCTTCAGGAAATGACACAAATAAATATTGACCAATAGGGAGATGACACGTTGGAAGAATGTTGACCAATGGGGAAATGACACTACTTCTCATTCAGAAATGGCATTAGATAATTTCTGGGGTATTTTCTCAATACCCCAACATAAAGAAATTGAGTAATAGTTATTTATGAAGCATTTATTGATTATTACAAACAATATAACTAGACATTGGATTTTCATCTGATCAATATAGGTATTTGTAATCAATCAACTGATATTGGATTATAGTAAGGATGGAGTTTGAACCTGAAATGTACTGGTTGAAAGCTTACAATCTTGGCTGCTAATCAATCACTTCATACATAGCTCAGAAGTATATTAGTCTTACTTGCTACTTTTCACAATAAAGTTGAACGAATAGTTGATTAGAGAATAGAAATGTGATTTATATACTTGTTCAACCTAATTCATACCATTAGATAGATAGTAAAAGTTAGCAAAGATTGTCTTCAAATATTAGAGGGAAATGTAAAATGCCTGTGAATGTTTGATTTTACATAAATATTACAAAGAAGTGGATAGATTAGTCATCATCAAATGCCACAAACCATGAATTTAGCTTAAATCACTTCTTGTCTTTATTGCATGCATGCCATCTTACTTACATACGCCTATTAACCCTCATCAAGGAGCTTAGGCCGCCCACCAACATTCTCTATCCAAGTATGTCCTGGGCAATCTTTTACATGTCTGCATTCAATTCTCAACGCATTGTGTTCTTTGACCTTCCTCTTTTCCGTTTCCTTTCATGATTCCAAGTTAGCGCTTGCCTTGTTATGCTGTTTGATAATTTCCATAATATATATCCTATCCAGTTCCAATGTCTTTTTCTAATCTCCTCAATTGGAAGCTGGTTTATTCTATCTCACATTAATCCATACTATCTCATGGATAGGAAATGGATTATCAAAATTTTAACAACAACAACAACAACAACAACAACAAAAGAAACAAGTTTGTAAAGTTTGAAAGTCATTCATAATGACATTTCCCTTTTATAATGACATTCCAATCTTAAATAAGCTCAATTTAATCAATAGAAAGAAAGAACAACAAACAAACAACCAAACAAACAATCTATTCTTGAATAAATTACAAGATAGAACATATGTAACTTGGTTAGAAATTCAGTGGAATTTTCTATTCTACAAAATGATCATATCAACTCACTAAAAGATCTTGCTTAAATCATCTATTTTACATATATCAAATGGATTAATCTTCCTATAATCTTTAATAATGATTTCTATCCCAAATTTATTCGAGTTATCAAAATATAAGAAAAGTTAAATAAGTATATCTTAATTCTTATTGAATGAAATAGACTTGTAGAGATTTTTGTTTTACTGAGTTGATAACAAACTACTATAAGAAAATGATGTTATTTAACAGTTGAATTCATGAATTGATCTAAGTTAAATCAGTATTGAAAATTTCGAAGTAATTGAATGATTGTTTCAAGTTTTCAATGATAATCTAGATTAGATCAATTCATGAATTCAACTATTCAAGTTACTACAATCTCTATTTTGAGATCATTTAGTTAAATATTGGAAATCTAAGGACAACAAAATCCATGAGAAGACGACCAGTGTAGCAGCGGTAGTAGTAGGTCTTAACATACACAAACGGAAAATCAAGATTATTTGATATAAAACAACATGCGCCAATTAAACCTCACTTGACGGAGAAGCTTTAGAAGATGTAAAAACCTCTACATATTTGGATAGCATCATTGATGAACACTGTGGATCTGATACAGACGTGAAGGCGTGGATTTATTTATTTTAACACATAGGTATTGGTGCACGGAGGCACCAAATACATATGCGCCACACAGATCTCAATTGATTTGTGTGACGGCTGTGATACTGCCCGGGTGCCCAAACCGAAGCAGGTGGTTTTCTAGGGGAGCCACACCCATAGCCTTCGACTTGAACGTCTGACCCACAAGGCAGTGGAGCATCGTGAGGACATGCAGTCCCATGGTAGCCGGTGACCAACGATTGGTTCATACGCCATTTGTTCCTTCAGGATACTGGAGCCCATGTGCACCATTGGTTTGGGAAACGGTTAAAGCGCTGGACGTTCACTTTTCATCCTCTCATTTTCGTAAACAACACCCGTGGTGCGAGAAGGCAGTGAGTAGGACTTCCGTGGCAGAGGCTATATACGCATGGCCATGTGAGAGCATTTCGAGAGGGATAGCGGACTCTCCCCACTCTCGGCCGTACCAGGGAATTTAGGGGCGAAGGCGCGGATCGGAAAAGCAAGACCAGCATATTTACAACTGAAGAACATCTGGAACTCAAAAGAAGTTGTCAACCAACATAAAGATCAGAATTTTCAATACAAGTGTCAAGACAGTTTTGCTGTATGGTATGGAATCTTGGAGAACTATGAAAGCCATCATCCAGAAGATACAAATGTTTATTAACAGATGTCTACGCAAAATCCGTTAGCTATACACTTTCATCAACTACCTACTGTGGGAGAGAACAAACCAGATTCTAGTGGAGGAAGAAATCAGGAAGAATCACTGAAAGTGGATGGGATGCACATTGAGAAAAGCACCCAACTGTGTCAAAAGGCATGTCCTCACTTGTGATCCTCAAGGCCAAAGGAAAAGAGGAAGACCAAAGAACATATTGGGCTGAAAAAATGCAGATCGATATGAGAAGAATGAACAACAATTGAATAGAACTAGAAAGGAAGGCCCAGGACAGAGTGGGTTAGAGAATGCTAGTCGACAGCCTGTGCTCCATTGGTGGGTAACAGGTGTAAGTAAGTAGAAAATAAAAAGACATTGGTATCGTATCCAAAACTACAACTTGTAAAATTAACCTAATCAGAAGTCAGACATTAATCAACTGACCATATTGAAAAAAAGCCTATCAGAAATTATTACAACTTAAGTGACTCATTATATAGGTCATTTGGTCATGATAATATTATGCTAGCGAATAGACTTCCAGGACATGAATACATTGTAGGCTTAATGAAAGTCATACTAGGATGATACAACTATCATGTCTTTGATGATTTTTACCCAGCGAAGGTTAATTTTTTGTTTAAGGAATTTTGAATTACATGATAGTTAGGTGTCAGGTAATTTGAGAAATACTTGCATTTGGATCAGAAATTCAATAGTACTGTTTACTATAAGATGTGAAGGGTTTTGGTCTGATACTACCTTTGTAAGTAATACAAATCTCATTAATGATTGACTTCGAGATGGATTCTCTGAAGCTTTAGAAACGACTGATAACTGACTTATCAAATCAAGCAAATCACTAGTGGTATAATAAATTATAAATAAACATTGAATGTGTTAAGTTACTTCAAGCCATCTACTATATTACACTGTACTTCATATTTGTTTATAATCAAGTTTATGAATGATACTAATTCATGCAAGAAAAATTATAAGTGGTGATAACTTTCAATACAGGTTTGAATGAGTAGTATGTTTTATATTCTTATTAGTTTGAATTACTTAGTCTAATATAATTCACTCAGAGTGAATATTTCTACTCATCAGAGATTCTATAATCAAACTGTATTGAGGTAGCACTGTAAAGAAATTACAATGGAACTGTCTCTATTTTATGAAAGGTTTAACAAACAGACAATCTTTCAGTTTCTATATAAGGAAGGTATCACTGAGCTTAATTCTAATGACTTTCACTTACTATTAAATTTAATTGGTGACGAATCACAAGTCTCAATGTCTTCGTTGAATTACTAAATGGAACCTGATTTGATTAACTGTAACAATTATTAGGACATTTTCATGAGGACTATTCTGAGTCAGATGAATAATTCCGCGTACTTATGTATAGCTTTCTCATATATAATGTGTGTTGTGTCTTGCGTCACCCTTGATATGGCTCCAAATGCCATAATGCGACCGAAGGTGGGGGAATCAGCTTTTATTTTCGAAATTCTCTTACATGACCACGCGTATTCAGCCACTGCCGAGGAAATCCTACTCACTACCTTCTCACGGTGAGGGTGTTGTTTACGAAATTGTGAGGATGAAAAGTGATTGTGCGGCTCTTTAACAGGGTTGGTAGATACAGAGGATCTACATAGGAAAGTTGAAAAAACCTGATTCGAAAGAAATGGTGGACATGGGTTGCAAGATCCTGAAGGAACGGATGACATGTGAACCAATCGTTGGTCACCGGCTACCATTTGATTGCATCTCACGACATTGCTCCAATATGTTGTGGATCAGAACTTTAAATTGAAGGCTCCGAGTGTGGCCCCTTAAGAAACCACCTGTCTCTGTCTAGGCACTCGGGCAGTATCATAGCCCATATATATATAATCTGTAGGTTATACATTTCAAATGGGTCTGATTAACAGTGATATTGAATTATTAATGTTCTTTTTATAATCCTGACTATCAATAAACCTACAGACTGTTCTTTATATCTTAGCATCAGTTGATACTTCCTTTAAAACGGGAATCAGTTTTAGATGGGATCGAAGATAATACCATTGAATTATTCAGTAAGTGATATATCTTTACAAATTTGATATTTTTACACTGATCCATAAGTAATAAAGAATAAGCTTTTCGGTTAGCCCCTAACGAAGTTATGTAAGCTTCAGTCTAAGTGGCTAGAAATCGGATAACCATATTTGGGAATCAGTCATAAAGTTAGTGCCTATTTTCTCAGTGTTCTTCTCATTTATAAGTACTATTATTAATCCACGAGTCAATTAAAGTCCACCATGGAAGCACTGGATGTTCGTTTCATTCTAGTATGGGACTTTGAGGCAGCGAGCATCCTCGACCTCGCGCGCGAACGCTTAAGCTCTAGATCACTGAGCCGGTATCTAATGGTGTTAATGTCTAACTTCAACCAATCCACAAAATCGAACCACTGTCTTCAGTGAGTAACAATCTTACAACAGACCCGGTTGAATCCCACTGGTCACGGCTTCTCATTAGAACTCCAGGAAATACCTCTTGAAGCCAGTCACTAGTGCTCCCAGATTTTCTATAGTGGTCTAGCTTTAAATGACTCATGAATTCAACTATCGAATTTCTATAATCTCCGCAAAACCCCTTTCAGATATTATTAATCTACTAGAAATAAATCCGGTGAAAAGGAACTTTCATTTATTACTACAACGGCTTAAGACAACTCTGTAATGGAATGGTGGCTTATCGATTCATTTCTAAATTATATCAAACGACACAATTCAGACTGTAAGTAGAACAGGTTTCAAACTTATAACCCGGTTAGTCAGTGGCTAAACGTTTAAAACGCAAAATAGTAAGCTATCACTCTCACATTCAGAAAATCTGTGAAAGGGGTATAATCTATTTCTATAGAATAGGTGGTAGTTTGGCTGGCGGTGGAATTCAGGTGAATTTCCTCCCGCTTAATACTCGTCAAATGAATGTGTCTGTATAAAAGTTTTGATGTTCTATCGGAACTCAAGCCCAGTACCTTTCGCTTTAAACACTTACAAATAATGTGGTTGTCCTTCCGATTGACGTAAGAAACCGGAATTTCGTTCGAACAAATGCTTATCACCACAGTATGGATATCCACTCACAAGATAACGTATTTACCAACTGTACGTACTACCATAAAGTAGTAGGTTAGGATTGCATATCATAATAACTCAGCCGAGATATAATAACTGGAAAAACGTACCTTTCTTTATGTGTCGTGTATGGTCCACTAGGGTGCTTGGTACTTGTCTGGTTGCGCCACAAAATCGAGTTGTACTATTCCGATTGTAGCGTTAAGGCCTATACGGTGTCTAGTTCTCATGTGAAGCGAGATTGAGCTGTACTGCTCTGGTTATAAAATTTAAGCCTGGGTGGTGTTTGGCTCTCCTGTTAAACGGGACTGAATCGTACTGTTTGGGTTGTCATGTGAAAGTTTGGTTCACCTGAAAACCAATGTAAAATTACCCTAACCCACAAGGGTATATGTTGGAGGTCTACTAGAGGATGACGATAAAACTAAAGCCGGGGGTTAAGTCAAACTGACGGTTGTACAGGGGTATAATAGTATTACAGAATTCCATCAGATTACTAACATCTATAAAGCTACTGCTTTCTCGTAACAGAATTAGGAGGTTACAAAAGGTCAGGCCTAAAAATGTTACAACTTATTTTACCCTATGAATTTCCATCTATAACAGTAAGGCATCTTGAAGTATAAAGCGAATTTCCACAAAATATGTATAACCATCCTCAAACAGTTGTTCCTTTCGACAGTGCAATTACATTCCCAACTCATTAATATTACCATTGACCCCACTTGTATTTTCAACCCTTCATCCCTCTAAAACGCAATATTGTTTTATGGTGTTGAATAGGCAATCGAGGAATCGACAACTTTCCTCATATCTCTATAAGAGAATATCAAAATCACATGTCTGTTTTATATTTTTTTGATTGAGATCATGAACCGATTGATGTTAGACCACCATTAAAAACCTGGAAGCACTGGACGGCCATTTCGTCCTATTGTGTGACTCCTCAGCAATGCGCATCCACGATCCCGCTCGCGGGATTTGAATCAAGAGTCTTCAGTCTCGCGTGCGAGCGCTTAACCTACTGGACCACTGAGCCGGCCGGCATCCAACGGTGTTAATGTCTAACTTCAACCGATCCACGAAATTGTGCAACTATCTTCCATTGTACTAAGGTAGACACCTGTTTCTATCCGACACGGATTACCTTCACTAATCACCACTTCTCACCAGAACTTCGAGAATTTTCTCACAAAGCTAGTCACCAATGAGCACATTGTAATTATTCACAACACCTAAAATGTTTATATATATATATACATATACAATATATTGTTTTATTTTTGGTATACCAAACAGAAATGTAATATTAGTCTAACTTATACATATAGAATAAATGAAAAAAATATATATGTGGTAGTGTTCATGCAAACGTTAGAATACCAAATACAAGAAGTCAATATAAGAATAGATTAAGGCATAAATCATGATTATGATTGTTGTCGTTATCCATGATAACGATTATTATGAAAGATATATGTATATATATATATATATATATATATATATATATATATATATATACTTATATTATATCTAATAGAGATATGTAATATTTAATTATCATTGATTATACTACTTATATTATTATCATTAGTAGTTGTATGTAATGAATAATTATATGATGTAGAACCATTACTATTATCATTATTATTACTGTTATGTTCATCATTTATAGTAGATTCATTTGTTGTTAATAAATCAATTAAATGTTGTAATGGAACAAGTTCACGTTTTTGAACTAAATTAAATTCCTATAAATACAAAAAACAAAACAAAAGCAAATACATGAAATATTGAAAGAGTAAATTCTGATTGATGTTATTTTAATTATATCTTCTTATTGTTATTTAGGACTGTAATTGATCAGTCTTATGTTGGCATATGAGCATTTTGTGTAGATTGCCTCAATATAGAGTTAATTCACAAGCTTTTTAAGCAAAGATGGATAATGACTAGCAATGGAATGCAGTTTAACGCACGTTTCATCCTATTTGAGACTCGTTAGCTAGATGTAACTGCATCCCAGAATTGATATTCACTCCGGGACTCGAATCTAGTAACGTTTGCTTCAAACACTATCGCGTTATCCACTTAGCTAAGGAGTCCTAATAATCACCTACTTATGCAACGGGGTGAAGTTTAAATTTACTTGTATCTTCCCGTTGTTATTTAGGACTGCAATTGATCAGTCTTATGTTAACATATGTGTATCCGGAGTCCCGGCGTGAAAATCAACTCTGCGGTGTAGGTACGTCCAGCTGAAGAGTCCCGAATAGGACGAAACGCGCGTCTTGGATTCCACTGCTAGCCACTATCTGTCTTTGATTGAAAAAGCAGTTTATACACTATAACAGAAGTATTGTTTAAAGAAATATTTTGATTTATACCCTATTAACTACTTGTAGATATACAGAAGATATATACGTAGGTATTTGATTGCAAATGTATTGGAATTATTAATGTTAAATAGTTGAATCTAGTTGCTAGGATACTCTGCTCGATTTAAGTTTTGTGCTAATTGGAATTCAACAACAATCCATACGTACTAATGTTGAACGAATTAATACTTCCTATAGGGATGGGACATGCATCATCTAGTTGTACAGTTTGAGATGTTATTAATGAGCTATTCTGACTACAAATTAGCTCCTTTGGCACTGAGATATACATATAGATTGGTCACTGTATGGCATAAGTAATGTCTTTGTATTCGTCATAACTTAGTTAGCTATAGACAATATTCAAACCTGATTGTTAGAAGATGGTTATGTTTGAAATTGTTTATCAAAAAACCTAACTGACAGCATCAACTATCATACTGCTTATCAACTAATGATATACTAGTGAACGACTCATACAAATTAATTAGATGAATCAACCTAGCGGAGTTGGAAAACCCAGATTCCAAACCAATAATTTACAGGGGCTCTCGTATCCTCAGAGAACGAATAGAGTATTTACCGATTTTGGTTACAAAACTGGAACTAGATTTTCTAATGTTGCTCTACTGTTTTGTGTATAAAACTGATAAATCAAGCAACAAGCCAATAAACTGACCAAAGAATGGACGACCTGCAACCAATTTTTATTCTTATCAATAAAGGTTACTAATATTAGATTAGAATGATAGGTTAGAAACACTAATCAGAAGGTTAGCACCTTCTGACAGGGTTCAACTCCCCAGTTTATAACTTTATAGAACTATTTCATAGGTTAATCAGCCTGTCGACCTTTAATTTTTGCTTCAATTTAAACTTCTAGTATCAGGGGTAGATAATGGTTAACTCAGTCAGTCAGTAACAACGTAGAATTTCGTACGTAAGTATATCAGTCCGAGTTGCCATATCACATTAGCACAGAGATGCATTTGTCGATTCAAATCCAATAAAGGTAGAGGTAGTAAGAGTATAAGCCCTAATCGGAAAGATTAGGGTTTGAAAATGTTATTCAACGAGTATAATCCAGTGAAATAAATTTGGAAACAGAAAAAAAGGGATATGAAGAATTCAGAAGTTTAGAATTTGGGAGAACACAAAGAATGGATGCACCTGCGTCATTACAAACGATTTTGAGCCATGTATCATTCCAGGTCTCTAACCATCATCTCGTAGTCCCCAACCAGGTAGTCTACACCTACTAACATGGCTCAGTCCATTTGTCAGCGACTTTATGGATTTGTTCCATGTTTTGCTTTGGCCGCTTCTAGCTTTCTTCCAACCTACTCCTACATCATAACATATCGCACGTCGGGGTAATCGGTGTGCGATCTTAACTATTGGGCAACTAATACTGACGAGACATTGAAAACAAAGTTATATTGATTTATTATCTCTTTTGATCATGTAATTTATGTGTATAAATTCTGTAGATTTTTGAGTAAGGATAACAATATTATGATAAAAGTCATTCCAATTGTTATATTTACTTTCTAATAAGCCACTGGAGATACGAATTTGGATTCCTATTCATATAATTTGAAGTTATAACAATTTATTGAAGATATAATAAATTAAACGCCATAACAAGCTCGCTCAATGTCTTCCTTTTGTATAAAGAGTATTTCAGTTAACCAATTATAACGTAGGACAAGGCATACACATACATTGATCTAAGTTACTACATCTCATTAGTAAAACAAGACAAATACTGGATTCATAGAAGTAGTTAAATCAATAGTGTATTATATAAAGGAAAAGATTTTATGTAAGAATATAGTACAGAAAGAAAGATACCTCTAACTACACTGAAGACCAGTGTATAATGTATTTGTTTGAACACATCAATATTGCTACAAGAGAGCACCAAATACATATGTGCCACACAGATCTCACTTGATATGTGTGTGGGCTGTGATACTGCCCGCGCGCCCAGACCAAAGTAGGTGGTTTTCTTAGGGGGCCACATCCAGAGCCTTCGACCTAAATGTCTAACCCACAAGGCTATGAAGCATCGTAAGGAGATGCAGTCCCATGGTAGTCAGTGACCAACGAGTGGTTCATACGCCATTTGTTCCTTCAGGATACTGGAGCCAGCACATGTGCACCATTGGTTTGGAATCCGGTTAAAGCGTCGGAGATTCGCTTTTCATCCTCTCATTTTCGTAAACAACACCCGTTGTGCGAGAAGGCGGTGAGTAGGACTTTCGTGGCAGAGGCTGTATATGCGTGGCTATGTGAGGGCATTTCCAGAGGGAGAGCGAACTCTCCTCACTCTCGGCCATACCAGGGCATTTAGGGGCAGTGTATAAAGAGTATTTCAAAAATCGACAAATATATATACAAATGAAATAGGATTATAATCATACTTACCAATACAAAATAGATAAAATGTTTAAAACTTGTATTTAAATGAGCTTCTTCTTGTAAATCTCTTACTTCAGAAAAATGTTGATAATAAATATGTGCATAAACTCGAAATAAACGTTTTAATATCACTTTAACTACATTAAGAAAATCACGTGGAAATGGAGCACCTATTTAAAAGAAACATATATATATATATATATATATATATATATATATATATATAATATTCAAATGATATATATCAATGATAAATAGATTAATAATAAATTAATTCAGAAGGGTTTCTTTATGGAAATTGTAATAATTTCAATAATTGAGATCATGAGTCAATTGAAGCTAGACCATCATGGAAAAATCTGGAAGTACTGACAGGTCCTGGGTTCGAATCCTGCGAGGCAAGGTCGTGGATACGCATTGCTAAGCAATATTATAATAGGATGAAAAAGTTGTCAAACGCTTTCAGGTTTTTCATGATGGTCTAGCTTCAATTGACTCATGATTTCAATTATTGAAATAAATTCATTATTCTATTTAGTAAGATAATCATGGTAATATTTCTCATGATTACATAATCATTTTGATGAGTGATTTCTTTACAATTGAAGAATACAATTTTCAATTAATAGCTAAAAGGGTTTAACACTACTACTACTACTTGGGTGAGTAAACCGAAATAAGTGGTTTCTTAGGGGGCTAGACGCGGAGCTTTCAATCTAAAAGTTTGATCCACAAGGCAGTGGAGAAACGTGAGGAGATGTAGTCACATGGTAGTCGGTGACCAACGATTGGTTCATAAGTCAATTTGTTCCTTTAGGGTTATAGAGCCCATGTACATCATTGGTCTGAGATGACCGTTTTCCAACTTCCCTAGGTGGATTCTCCGTTTCTACCATCCCGGTTAACGCGCCGGACATTTGCTTTTCATTCTTTCAATTCCCCCATCACAAAAAGGAGGTGAGTAGAACTTCCTTAGCAGTGGCTGTATACGCGTGGCCATGTGAGAGCATTTCAAGAGGGAGTGCTGACTCTCTCCACCCTTGGCCATAGCAGGGCATTTAGGGGCTCCATCTCCGATTACTCTGTTTTCTCGTTTCTTTAAAGAATAACCTAAAAGATCGAACACGTTATTCATTACCGTCGAGATTTAATATGAGACAAATCTGGAGAAGTAAAAGTAGTAATAATATCGGTAGCAGTATAAAAGATTAGATATAACAAACACGAATCGAGAAGGAATGAGTTCACGGAATGAAAAGAGGTGTAACTTAATTTTGAAACTCAAGGTCTAAGGCAAACAAAGAGTGAATGTATCTGCATTATTCTGAGTCTTGTCATACAGCGTCTCCAACCACTGGTTAAGATAGTCTCACAGACTTCAAACCAGCTGATTTGTGAGTACATACACAACTCAGCCTAACGATTAAGGACTTCATAGAGTGATGCCAAATTTTGATCTGACAGTCCCCAGCTTCCAATCAACGCTTCACCAATAGACATGAAGTAGGAGGTGATTGAGGATAGTTTAACAAGAATGGCACTTATAGCAAAGATTAAATCAACTTCTAATACTATTAGTATAACGTTGTGAAGTTTGTTACATTTTATTAATATTACGAACCGACTTTAGTTTGACAATCTTTGAAAAACTGAAAAGACTAAATGACTGTTTAGTCCCAGTATGGGACTTCTAAGCACTGCATGTCCGCGACTCTACCACCGGAAGTTGGATTTAGGACCTACGATCACGCGCGTGAATGCTTAACCTCTAAACCACTGAGCTCGAATTCAGTAGCATATTCAATCAATGATATGATATCGATTAACCATCTCCAATTATCTTCAACAGGTTACTTCCTCAAACCGAAACACGGTTGAGGCCCACTGATCACCTCTTTTCACTAGAACTCCAGAAACGATGTTAACTAGGATTATTGATTTTCGTGTAGTTGTTTCATGGAAAACCAATAAGACTATGAATTACTTATACAGTGGTCTTGAATGCTCTTAGATGTATGAGGGCGGTTATCACTTCTCGGTTGGCCACATCGTGGAAGGGTTCTTCTAAATGTTTCTGTAAAGGAAATTGGATTAGAGGTGGTTATAGTGACCTGTGAGCTTGACCGCAGTGCCCAAGGGACAGCTACTTGAGGTCGGTCACACACAACCTTTTTATGAATAGTCATTGTGTTAGCTCCGTACTTGTTGGCCACCAAATGCCCTGGTACGGCCGAGAGTGGAGAGAGTCCGCTATCCCTCTCGAAATGCTCTCACATGGCCATGCGTACATAGCCCCTGCCAGGGAAGTCCTACACACTGCCTTCATGTGGCGGCGGTGTTGTTTACAAAAATGAGAGGACGAAAAGCGAATGTCCGGCGCTTTAACCGGACCCCAAACCAATGGTGCACATGGGCTCCAGTATCCTGCGGGAACAAATGGCGTATGAACCAATCGTTGGTCACCGGCTACCATGGGACTGCATCTCCTCACGATGCTCCACTGCCTTGTGGATCAGACGTTCAGGTCAAAGGCTCGGAGTGTGGCCCCCTAAGAAAACCACCTGCTTCGGTTTGGGCACCCGGGCAGTATCACAGCCCTCACACAAATCAATTGAGATCTGTGTGGCGCATATGTACTTGGTGCCTCCCTGTACCTATATTTATGTGTTAAAATAAAATAAATAATAAAATACTCCGTACTTGTTGAGACCTTAACGCTGGAGACGGATATCCGTGGGATAAGGTGAGGTGTGCAGTTTTAGGGTCGACCTTTTCTAACACCACCCCTCTTTGTGGGTAGGCAGAATCATTTTCATGAAGGAAACACCTTACTGCCGTCACACTTCTGTACAGCCAGCAGTACGTCTTCGCCCTCAGACCTTGGGTTTGTTGCTTTTAGTCTTGCCGTTCTTTAACCGACCTGTCTGGGTATGGTAGATTATTGAGGAACGATTGTTCCAGCCAGTATAGGTCGACCGGTTTATCACGATAGGTAAGCCCGACCACCACGTCAAGGTAGCAACAACGGTAGGGAAATTACTTATACATAGATATATAAGAAATTGATCAAAGGATATGATGGTTAAAACACTCGTCTATTACAAATTCGAGCATAGTTTCAACAATTTTGGCTTTTGCAATCAAACTGTAGTACGAAAGGACTCTCTCTCTCTCTCTCTGTATATATACACGCACACAAGTGTTGAATACAAAAAATATGCAGCATTTACTCATTTCACTTGGTCCCAATTCAACATCAAATAAACAAACAAGAAACTATATATCATTGATTTTTTTTCCGATCGATTACAAACTTTTTAGCAAGATCTAGGTAACTAAATTTTGTTTGAATTTGTAATGTTTAGTTTCATTTTTACTAAAAAAAACCCCGTAAAAATAAGGACATTATGAAATGACCTTGAGAAGGACATAGTAACACAAAGAAACTGCCCATATGATCTAACAACCCAGCCAGATATGATCGGATGATTTTAACATGACATGAAATGTAGTTGGATAGACATTGATCACATTGTATTACATATAGACAATTCAAAAAAAAAATATGAATAATAATCTGTGCATATGTAAAGTAGCTGAAGGACAAAGTAGTATCGAATGTTATTATAGGTGGTAGTGGTGGTGGTGGTCATCAACTTCTGGTCAACCATATCGTAGAAGGATAATTCTACTCAAGGTAACTGAAAAGAAGTCAGATGATCAATAGTGGTTTTGAAGATCCAGGGAAAGTGACAGTAAAGTTGCAACAGACAGCTGTCTGTGGCCAGTCGCACAAAACCTTTTGTGTGAGTAGATTCAGATAAGTTAGGTCAGTATGTATAAGGCCTGAACCAGCGATGACGGAAATTAGTAGGTAAAAATGAGATATGCTATTTTAAAGGTCAGTTTTTTCCCGTTGTGAGAAGATAAAATCGTTTGAAATGCTGGTTATTTGATGGAAATAACTTACTGCTGTCACATACCGCAGACTATCAGTTTACTGCTCTTAGTAATACCGATCTGTCTGGTATGGTAGGACCTAAAGGAAAAAATATTTTAGCAAATATAGCTCGACCCGTTCGTCACGACAGAGATCCTGGACCACCACGTCAAGGTAGCAGCTACAGCCATGAGGCAGTAAAAAAGAGGCACCAGGATATAGATTTCTAACTAGTTGACAGGAATCGTCAACAAAGCGCATTTAGAATCTTGACTGAACGAATGCCTCCTTTTGGTTTTTCAAGCATACGTTGTACAGTATTACTACCGAACTTAATGGCAATAGTGTATAATGTTGTCGATTGACCAAGGTTAGTAGTTAGATTTCAAATGGATCGATGGAATAAGATCAACACGAAAAACTAATCAAATATGAAACTGTTTACTGATCAGTCAGTTTAATGCTGTGGTCACTGATTTATGGTGGTTTCGGGTCTTTGCAAGCACTCAACTCTCAGTAGTTGGTGTTCCAATGTTTGGTAGCCTTCATACATTAAAAAACGTCCGCACTCACATAGACAAACACACACACTAGCAACGGGTTAGTGATAATGTTGGATACAACAAAGCATACTGCATAAAGAATAACTAATAATAATCATAACACCAGTTGGTTACGGATAGTTTTGGATCTAGAGTGTAGATAAATTGCAATGGCACAAGTTAAAATGCCTTATAAAATCAAGATAATGATATCATATTCCAGATTTGAAGAAGATAAAACGACTTAGATCAACAGTATTTACGATTTCCTAGATTGATGCTGCTGAGTATGCTCTGTACACTTATTTATTTGCTTAAACTTGTGTATATTGATATGATGATCCAATCCGAAGTATGCAAATGAGGTCACTTGATGGCAATCAGAAGTGACTTGTTGGGTAAGTGCATTTCATTGACTAAGAAATGGTTTGACTTTCTAAGGGGTAGAAATGTATCTATATAAGTGAGTATTTATGCACGTTATTCGGTAGTCGAATAGAATTTCTGTTCCACTTTTGTCTTCTTGCTCATATAGTCAGTATGAAGGATTAGCGCATAGCACACTGTGTATCAGTATCAGATCTCCGATACCCACCATCACATCACCAATACTGGCAGTGAAACATGGCCAGTAAGAGTAGAGGACATTCGTAGGTTACTAGTATTCGACCATAGATGACTTTGAAACATTGCTCTTATATCCTGGGACCACCGTGTAAGTAATGCAGTTGTTAGGAAACGGGTACTAGGTAAGGATGGCACATTAATTGATGAAGTAGTGAAACTTAATCAATTGAGATGGCTGGGACACGTGTTACGTATGCCCGACCATCGACTGCCCCGACGTGCGATGCTTTATGGTGTAGGAGTGCTATGTCCCGACAAGAATAATGAATGGTAATTTCGGGATCCATTTATGGACCAATACTAAACGTATATTTTTATCGTATGATTATTAAATAACTAAACTATTGATATTCATGTTCCTCTTATTATAAGCATTATTTCGACCTATGAACGATTATTATACGTTTAACCATTCGTGAATTATGCCCTGTTTGTTAGTCACTACCTCCCACATTTGTATAAATGTTATTTTCAATTTTATGGTACGTTGTGGTTTGTTTGATTAGTATATAAAATCAGTATCTTTGAAATATAACGATTCATATTGCAGAGGCTGAGACTTGCGTTCTGGACTTAACTGGCTGGGCTAGGCGGAAAGCAGGGCCAATCAGAACTAAAGGCCGCTCGCACGTGCTTTACGCGTCCTTGATGCGATCGATAATTCACTGCCTCCCAACAAGGAGTAGGTTGGAAGAAAGTTAGGGACGGCCAAACCAAAACATGGCACAAATCCATGAAGTCGCTGACATGTGGACTGAACCATGTTGGTAGGTGTAGACTACCTGATTGGGACCCGTGAGACGACAGTAACCGATGGTTAGAGATCTTGAATGACACATGGCTTACAATCGTTTCCAATAGCACACATACATCTACTCTTTGCGTTCTCCTTAATTCTAATCTTCTGAATTCTTCATGTCCTTTATTTTCTTTCCAAATTAATTTTACTGGATTATACTCCTTGAATAACATCTTAAAACCGTAATCTTTCCGACTACTGCTTATACTTTTACTACCTCTATCACTACCGGATTTGAATTGACAATAGTATCTCTGCGCTAATGTGGTGTGGCATCTCGAACTGATGTACATACGTACGAAGTTCCCCGTTGTTACTGACTGACTTAGGAATGTCATCGCAGAAAATTTCTTATCGGGCATTAATTGCCAATATCGAAACTGGATAGAACAACCGAAAAAATGATTAGTTTGTGACATAGAACCCCGGTGTAAAAGAGAATACTTTATGTTAGGCATATGTAGTATGTAATCGCTCCACATAACACTTAATATTTATTTTACCACATAGATATTGGTACAAAGAAGCACCAAATACATATGCGCCACACGAATCTCAATTGATTTGTGTGAGGGTTGTGTTACTGCTCAGGTGCCCAAACCGAAGCAGGTGGTTTTCTTAGGGGGCCACACTCCGAGCCTTTGACCTACAGGTCTGACCCATAAGGCAGTGGAGCATCATGAGGAGATGTAGTCCCATTGTAGCCGGTGACCAAAGATTGCTTCGTACGTCATTTGTTCTCGCAGGATACTGGAGCCCATGTGCACCATTGGTTTGGGGTCCGGTTAAAGCGCTGAACATTCGCTTTTCGTTTTCTCCTTTTCGTAAACAACACCCGTGGTGCGAGAAGGCAATGAGTAGGACTTCCCTGGTAGAGGCTATATACGCGTGGCCATGTGAGAGCATTTCAAGAGGGAGAGCGGATTTTTCCCACTCTTGGCCGTACCAGGGCATTTTGAGGGCCACTTAACATTAATAATAAATCAATCTAATAATCATAATCATAATAATAATTCATAAATTAATAAACTTACCAATTTTTGATGGAAATATAGCTTCATTCTCTAATTGTTTTTGAATCCATATCATTAAACAATCAATATAATGTGGTGCAGAACATTTTAATGGTTTTTTTACTGTTTGTCCATCAGCCCAATGATATTCATATTTTGGACCAGCTGACATAATTGGACATGTATCATCCGTACAAAATTCAATTAATGTACCATAAAGCATATTAATTTGATTGAAAAAATCTACAGCTATAAGAAATATATACATATATATATGTATATAGTCATTTTTATTAAGTAAACAAATAAACAAAATAGATAAAATAATCATATTTGGTTATTTAATTTAACACATAGATATCGGTACAAGAAGGCACCAAATACATATGCGCCACACAGATCTCATTTCATATGTGTGAGGGCTGTGATACTGCTCGGGTGCCCAAACCGAAGCAGGTGGTTTTCTTAGGGAGCCACACCCCGAGCCTTTGATCGGAAGATCTGATCCACAAGACAGTGGAGCATCGTGAGGAGATGCAGTCCCATGGTAGCCGGTGACCAACAATTGGTTTACACGCCATTTGTTCCTTCAGGATACTGGAGCTCATGTGCACCATTGGATATTTGGTTAAGCATTAATTCTGTATAACAGTATGATATTGCATTTTTACTAATGACTAACTTTGAGAGATGATTATTATTTCTGGTGTTTTAGTAAGAAACTGTGACCAGTAGACTTCAACTATGTCGACCTGTTGAGGAAGATTCTCACTGAAGGTAATGAAAAATCGTTGGACAATATCGTGGATTCATTCAAGTTAGACTTATACATTTTTACATCTCGGGCTTAAGGAAACTAAAGGTTCTAGGTTACACTGCTTATGACAGTGTCATGAAGGAATCCAATACTAGGATGAAATCCCTATCCAATTCTTCGATATTTTTAATAGTCATCAAAATGAGATCAGTTTTTGTGATCTTAATACCAAATGTCAGGTTAAATATTATCATAAAAAATATGTATAATTTTAATAGTTCATGTTCTATTAGAATAAGAATCTTTTTCTCTCATTAGAGAATTGATGTTATCAGAGTTGAACAACGATTAAATATAAGAGAGAGAGAGAGAACATTCTACACTCAAGAGACTATACAGGATCAAACATATAACTCTGATATGTTGTTAATGAGAAAAATTTATTCTTATAAATGAATATAAAAGAATTTTAATACCATTAAAAAGATATTATTAATATGAGATCAGATCTAATTCCATGCATTACCTCAAAAGTGATACAGTAGATTAATCAGAAATTGACACTGTACATTCAGTCACTAACAATGTTGAATTTCGTACGTACGTACATCAGTTCGAGTTGCCATACCACAATAGAACAGAGATTCAGTTATCGATTGAAATCCCGTAGTGGTAGAGGTAGTGAAAGTATAAGTAGTGATAGGGAACATTAAGGTTTGATGATGTTATTTAAGGAGTGTAATCCAGTGGAATAGATATGGAAAGAAAATAAAGGACATGAAGAATTCAGAAGTTTAGAATTTGGGAGAACACAAAGAATGGATGCACCTGCGTCATTACAAACGATTTTGAGCCATGTATCATTCCAGGTCTCTAACCATCATCTCGTAGTCCCCAACCAGGTAGTCTACACCTACTAACATGGCTCAGTCCATTTGTCAGCGACTTCATGGATTTGTTCCATGTTTTGCTTTGGCCGCTTCTAGCTTTCTTCCAACCTACTCCTACATCATAACATATCGCACGTCGGTGGTTGGGTATACGTAACACATGTCCCAGCCATCTCAACTGGTTAAGTTTCACTACTTCATCAATTGATTTGCCATTCTTACCTAGTACCCGTTTCCTAACAACTGAGTTACTTACTCCGTGGTCCCAGGATATACGAGCAATGTTCTGAAGTCATCTATGTTCGATTACTAGTAACCTACGAATATCCTCTACTCTTGCCGGCTATGTTTCACTGCCAAAAAGTAGGACGGAACGAACTGCCGCGCAGTAAACACTGTACATTATTAGTTTAGAATCAAGGCTACTCAAATCCTTTATATTGGATCTTCCATGTTTATCAATCTGTTTAAAACGCTGGATATTCGTTTTTTTGCCCTGTCATTTTTTGTAAACAACAATCACGTAGTGTCAATGCAATTAGTACAACTCCCCCCTCACAGTGGTTATAAACACATTAAGAGAAGTTAATCAAATGGGAATGGAGTAATAAGCACTTTTTTTACATGATATTAAGATGATCTTGGTAAAGTCAAATGAGTCCTGAATACGACCAATCAATAGGTAGAAAGATCTTATTCAGAATAGACTTTATAATCCAGCATTACAATAACAAATTTGTGTCACAGTAGATTAACTAATAGAAGGATTAGATGCAGACGTAAATGCAAGGATTGGAAAAGTAAGGACAGAATTTCTACAATTAAAGAACATATGGAACTCAAAACAACTGTCTATCAACCGATATCAAAGTCAGAATCTTCAATACGAACGTCAAGACAGTTAGTTATATTGGACGGAGCTGAAATGTGGAGAACAACTACAACCACCATCAATAAGGTACAAGTATGTATAAATAGTTGTCTACTCAAGATACTCAACATCCATTGGCCGGATACCATCAGCAACAGTCTTTTGTGGGAGAGAACCAACCAGCTTCCAGCTGAAGAGGAAATTAGGAAAAGACGATGCAAATAGATAGGACATATATTAAGGAAATCATTAAAATGTATCACGACACAAGTCCTAACTTGGAATCCTGAAGAGAGCTTGAAAAGAGGAAGGTCAAAGAACACATTACATTGGGAAATAGAAGCGGATATGAAAAGGATGAATAACAAATGGAAAGAGCTGGAAAGGATTGCCCTGGACAGCGTTAGATGGAGAATGCTAGTGTGCGGCCTATGCTCCTCCATGAGGAGTAACAGGAGTAAGTAAGATTGACTAATATAGCATTATTAAATTAGTTATATAACTCATGTTAACTGATTCTACAGTTAAAGATTAATGTTATTCTAGAATAGTTGAACACTACACTAAACAAAATGATAATATAGTAAAGAGGAACAATAGGGAAATATTGATAGTTTATTTTATCTGAAAAATATGTTCATCTCATTTACATGAATAATATAACAATCAACTTAATACTTTGAGTCAATCAAATGATTATTACACGATATTGGTCAAGATCTGACTTAATTTTCTGTAAGGACAATGATAGATAGATTCTTACTTTCAGGATTCTTGCTTAGTAGTTTAGTTAGGTATGTGTAAATGAAGTTTATAGATTAATATCAGAATAGTATATCGTGCAACATAACAAAACTACAGTGAAACTGTCATTACGTTCTATTCTAAATTATAACTAGCAAAGTCTTAAGCTAATAAAGTACACTATCTCTACAATATCAACTAGAGGAGTTAGCCAAGATGGATCGAGAAACGATACATCTATTCAAGAATATTTTATACCAAGATGCATTACATATAATACTAAAATAATTTGTAGAGATTTTCTCAAATAAATAAGAATACTAAAAATATTTCTTTATTCTTTCTTTTTTTTTTGTTTATTTATTTACTCTGAAGAAGCCGCTTAACCTAAGTCACGAAACGTCAGAAATACAATTTTCTACTCATTAATAACTAACTAACTAACTTTACAGCTTAGATGTTTATAACTTTAACAAAATATTGACGATATGTTATAATAGTATGTTCAATACCCTTTAGTTATCTTAGTTAGAATTATGGGATCTAGGAGAGATAATATGGATTAGTTCATGTTGAGTTCTTATATAATTATTTAATCTATCGTATTTATTATTAAACAAATACCCTGGTACGGCCGAGAGCGGAGAGAGTCCTCTCTCCCTCTTGAAATGCTCTCACATGGCCACGTGTATATAGCCTCTACCAGGGACGTCCTACTCACTGCCTTCTCGTGGCGGTGTTGTTGTTTACGAAAATGAGAGGACAAAAAGCGAATGTCCGGTGCTTTAACCGGATCCCAAACCAATGGTGCACATGGGCTAACTCCAATATCCTGAAGGAACAAATGGCATATGAACCAATCGTTGGACACCGGCTACCATAGGACTACATCTCCTTACGATACTCTACTGCTTTGTGGATCAGATCTTCAGATCGAAGGCTCGGGGTATGTCCTCCTAAGAAAACCACCTGCTTCGGTTTGGGCAACCGGGGCAGTATCACAGCCCCCACACAAATCAAATGAAATCTGTGTAGCGCTTATGTATTTGGTGCCTCGTTGTACCAATATCTGTGTTAAAATAAATAAATAAACAGATACACATTGGTACAAAGAGGCATCAAATATATATGTGCCACATAAATCATTTGATTTATGTGAGAGTTGGAATACTCCCCGGGCACCCAAACGAAAGCAGGTGGCTTTTTAGGAGGCCACACTTGAAGTCTTTGACCTAAAGGTCTAATCAACAAGGCAGTGGAGCAACGTTAGAAGATACAGTCACATATAAAAATTATTGACACTTTCACTTCAGCCTGCGATCAAAGAGCACATTGACCAGTATCAGTTTGCTTACAGATGCAAAAGAAGCACCTTAGATGCTGTTGCTGTTCTGCATCATAATATAGTGTTCAACGTAGAAAAGGGTAAGAAGTATGTTCGATGCGCTTTCCTGGACTATACTTCTGCTTTTGATTCTATATCAGGAAAACGTTTACTTAACAAGTTAATCAGCGTCAACACTGACAGCTGGATAACCAACTGGCTATGTTCCTACCTCTCTGGAAAGGAACAGTACACAGTGTTTGGAGGAGTGTGTTCAGAGTCTCTAGTGTCTTATGAAGGTGTACAACAAGGAGCTGTTCTTTCACCTCTTCTTTTCTCTTTTTTTCTACATGATCTGCCATCTTCCACAGTAAACACTTTCGTGAAATATGCAGATGATCTAACTGTTTGTATGCCTATCTATTCTTCTTTACATCCTATAGAAATGAATGAGTTTTTATCTCGTATTGATAGTTGATCTGTTGTTAATGGTCTCCTACTTAATCCGTCTAAATGTCAAGCTGTTAATTTTCGCATGAGACATGATCGGCATTTAAACACCATTTTGAGATACCATGATGCTTGTGTTGTTTGCAACTCATTGATAAACACAGTGTCGACGGTCAATTATCTTGGTGTTACCTTTTCCTCTGATCTCTCTTG